TCTCTCTCTTTCTTTCTCTCTCCAAAAAGTCTTCAATGTTGCAATTTTTTTTCTTCCAATCAACAAAAATCGCTCCTGTTCAAGTTATCGTCCGTGGGTGGTGGCACCGGGGAAAACACATGAATAAAGCTGTCGGTTTATTTTCCAAGGGCTCGACTCCCGGGCGTGGTAAGGCAGAATATGGCGGACTTTCACTCCAATCCGCTAGGCTGGGATACAGTACAGTTATCTATCTCTGTCTGCTAAAAATTTTTAAAAAAATAAAAACAGAAAACAAAACAAAACAAGAAAGCCACACGTAACGTGGGATTTCAGCCGGAGCTCCCGATGCCCGCAAATATATCCCAGTTTGCGTTAAAATGCGGTTCACACGTCCACGGCTCCGCAGCGAGGGTGAGAAGAAAGCGATAAAAACGCTGTGTTGTTGCTCGGTTTCCCCCGGACCAATCTTCTCCTTTTCCTCAATTCTCTTCGTGTATTTTTATTACAGAGGCCATCCACTCCTCCGCTGGAAGGGTGACGTCGGCCTCCCATCGACTAGGGGGGAGTGTCACGTCAAACAAACGCCACACAAGTATTTATACCCCCCCAACCTGTGGAATAGAAAATGTGCATGAATGGAGCAGCTGAACTCATATCTCCATGGACGTGTGTAATAGAAAGCATTACCACTTGAGTTCTGGGTTTTGAGTGGGTTTCTTTCCACACTAGCACTATGTCAGTAAGTAGTTCTTCAAAATGTCCCCTTGCTTGGTTTTTTTCACAAATCATCTTGGCTTTTAAACTCCACTAATTGCTTTATGTCCACAGGGATTGTGTACATTGAAGCCTACACAAAACCACAAATGAGCAAGTTTAAAAAAGCAAAATTTAAGAATCTAATATGCAGTTCAGTAGATATTCTGTTTGAGAATATATTCTGTTTTTGTTGAGCTTAATTGTGGTGTTATCGTTTAGGATTGCTTGATATAATGAGGACATCCCATCCGCAAAATATAGAACTGAAATGACCCCCCCCCTACAAATACTTGGCCACCCCAGCTTCATTTGGGAGCTTTTCCAAGTAAATATTGATCACATAAGATTGTTTGTTTGTGATTGCAGCAAATATTTCTGCCACCCCCATGGATATTCATACATATATAGTCTGTATTTAACAAACTGGAGAGTTACATAGCAGTTGTTAGTCATATTATTCTAACAATTTAGGCCCATACACTTAGTGATTGATTAAATGATAAGTGCATGGATGGATGGAAGGCTGTTAAGAGGCCATATCATGTATCCACAGTTCTTCCATTACAATCATCCCATGAACTGCTCTTGCCTGTTATTAGTGAATTTAGCCTTGTACGACTGCCCTTACCACAACCGGACAGCTAGCTATTATTACGCACTCACTATCGGAAGGATAGTAAATCATATAATGAGTCAACACATTAATGTGTGGGTAGTTTTGCTTTAAGTGTGGGGCTCCTAAGTGGGTCCTGTGCCCAGTGAGCTTGGGTCCCAAAGAAGCACTGAATTTCTCTCTTGGATCCCAGTCAGATTAAGATCCAGAGCCATGGCTGCAGAATAAGTGCTGACCTGTTTTATAGGCCAGTTTGTGGTTTAAAGGCTTTTTTGTGTTTAAGGCCTGCCTGAAAATTGCTTTGTTTTTGGTGGGTCACATGCTGTGTTCCACCTGTAATACTGACTCAAATACAAATCATTTCTCTGCATGGCTCTGCTTTGCGTCTAGCTACACTACACTAACATCAACTTCATTTGGGAACATAAGTCAAATTAGCAAATGGGCATTTGCAGGGCAAAGTTCAAGACTTTTTAACTGCACCATAAAAGATATACTACAGCATACTTGCAGCAGTGTGTGACTTAAAGCTTTACATTAGTCCTTGTGGCTGTGTGAACGAAGCGACTAGATCTTGCAACATCAAGTTAACAAACAGGGATTATAGTTAAGTGAGAGCATTTGTCTTCATGAGCTGCTTACTTCACTCAAGACAAGTGACAGAAGCACATTATACCAGGGAATCTGCAACATTTTATTACAATGGACCCTTCAGCAGACAAACCTTCGGCCATGTACTCCACTGTATGTACAAAGAAAATAGTTACAGTGAAACATGTAGCTGGAATAGCCATTCATGCTTTGTTTGTAATACAATTTTAGAATTATTATCAACCATACCTTGCCGTAAAATGCCTGACAAAACTAATTTGAAAGTTTAACTCATACTCACTTAAACCATTTGCTGCAAACAAAGTTAGAATTGAGGTCATCTCACATAGGTATTGAGCAGTGTTGATTGTAACCTAACTAAGTGGCCTATTTAGACCGTTTAAATGGGGACAGTGACTCAGTGCTTAATTGCATGTAATGCATTTGTTTAAGTCCAGCTCTTATCTTTTCTGACTTTATCTACCAAACAGGCAAAAATCTGAGCAACAGTCAAGCACATGAAAACATGAGACGTAAAGAACAATTGTAAATGCTTCTAGTAGAATTAATGTTAGCTGTCCAGGGACCTGTCTGATTCGTCCCAGATTTCCACCATGGGAAGCCATTTCAACCTGTGCCTGTAATGAAGGTCAACCAACCAGCTCTCTAGAGGGACACCCAGCCACAGGTCAGTAACATTTTAACTTGTCATGTGTTGTTTAAAGTCGAGATTCCCCATTAAACAAATGCATCATGGGGTTGGCTGACAACCATTATCCTAATTTGGTTTATACCAACTAGAAAACCATGCAAATTTGTAACGTTATAATATTTTATCGGTTGAGCTTCAAATGTATTATGCACACAGTGCATAATCTTTACTTTACTTAGGACTTTCTTGCATCCCGATACAAAATTAAACTGTGTGACAATAGAAGCAAGAACACTGAGACACTGATGATATCTGCAAAGAAAGGTTTGAGCTTTTGGTTGTTGGTTCTTCTCCAAACAATATTATGGCTTTCATAGATTTATTAGATTAGTACATTTACAATGATCAGAATAACAAGGTATACAATAGATGTCAGATCAGGCTGGGCATATGCAATATACTGTATATGCAGATAGTGCAGCCAATGCATAGTGTCCAGAAGGGTGTACACAAGGCTGGATAACCAATTATGCAAAGCAGACCCCAGACCCTCAGGAGTCCCAAACACCCAAAATTACTGCGTGACAGTTGCTAGTTGTTGCACAATATCAGCTGATGATAATAAGGGGCCTTAAAGTAAGCACTGCTTTATTCGGCTACCTGGTCTTCAGGCCCTGTTTTAAAAAAAGGTCCCAGCTGATTGTGCTCCTGTGGTGCATATTTATGAATGTATTATTATTACGTAATACTGGAGACATTGCACAGTGAATGAGAGGAAGTTAATAGGAGGGGAGCTCGGCAGCTCAATTTTTGACAGGTTATTTCAGCAACGTATGTAAGCGTCCACTACCTCATCAAAAAGCTTTTTCACTTCACTAATTTAATCTAAAAATGAGTATTCTATATATAATATAATAATAGTCATTCATAGTGGACACATGACCAGGAAAAATGTGCACATTAATAGAAACGTACACGCCCAGAAATGCAACAATAAATCGTCAAGAGCACGTCAGACTTTTATTTTGTAAGGGAAGAAGCCTTTTACTTTGTTACTTCCTGTCCCCTGTCACATGACCTCGCCCTCGCCTAGATACGAGAAAGCGTCGCTTCATGGTCGCTACGGAGAGAGGGATGGGTCCGTGTAGTTAAAACACACTTCTGTGGACTTTCCCACGCACTTAGGACAACTTACTACGATGGCAGTCCGCGGGAAACGCTTCTCGGTCGTTTCGACAACGACTCTACAAAGTTTGACCGGTTGTATATCCACGTTTCGGCGCTACTAGTGCATTGATCTATCTTGGCATGACAGATAAAGATTAGTGAGCATGCTAGCGAGCTAGCCACACTGCCCCAGCATCACACATCGACCACACCTGCCAGTGACAGGTAAGAAATCTTCCTTCACATGCCTCCAGTACCCCGAGTCGTGGCTCATTTTCCACCATTGGTAGCTACGGTTAAAAGACCTCGGTGTTGTTGCGTAATGAGTGGCTGCACAGTTCATAGCAGGTGTTTTCGAGCGACTAATTCCTTGTGACAGTAATGATGCGGCTCTAATAGGATTTGAGCCCGCTCCTTCCTGTCGATTGTTTGAGGAGTACGCAGGGATAACGAGGGAGGAGGTTAGTTGTGTGTGTGTGTGTCTCTGTGTGTGTGTGTGTGTGTGTGTGTGTCTCTGTGTGTGTGTGTGTGTGTGTGTGTGTGTGTGTGTGTGTGTGTGTGGCTCTGTGTTGTGTGTGGCCTGTGGTGGCCTGTGTGTGGCTGCTGTGTTGTGTGTGGCTCCTGTGTTGTTGTGATGTGTGTGTGTGGGGCTCTGTGTTGTGTGCTATGGCTGTGTGTGGCTGTGTGTGGCTGCTGTGTGGTGCTGTGTGTCGTGTGGTGGCTCTGTGTGTGTGTGTGTGCTGGCTCTGTGTGTGTGCTGTGTGGGCTCTCCTCTCTCTTTGTGTGCTGTCGTGTAGTGTGTGTGACCTTTGATGGACTGGTTGTCTTTACCTTAACT